GCAACAATGCTCATCATGCTTAAGATTCCCACATCATTATTTTGATAGTCCAAGAAAATTATTTTCAAATCTGTATCTAACTAAATTTTTAGATACTTCAGTAAACTCATTCTTTCCGTGTAGCAAAAGATAAGTTTTTCACGATTAAATTCGCGTGAGAAACTTCGACCAGAATCGCTGCTCCTCGACATCGTCATATTCTGTCCTGTTTTCGGTACCTCGAGCCTTCGACTGGAACTCATAATCAGCCAGTGATTCGACTTCGAAGTCGGCAACCGAGATTAATTCAGCCCTTCGAACACCTACGTAGAAATGGAAGACGGTAATCCGACACCGGGTTGTCAGCCCGGCAGGAAACAGACCGGAAGACCATGGAGGATGAAGAGAAGGAACGGACGCGTGTATATAGAAAGAGCTCGCGAGTGTCACGACGAACAGTCACGGAATTCGCTTACGTCGATATGTTTCATCGTCGCGCGAATCGTAAAGGAGCAAACGTCTTCCGCTTGATGCACGTCTATTTTACGACGTATTATAATGATCGACGTCGGCGCGCACCGGACCGTTACCATCTCGGAGTGCTGTCGCGACCGGCGTTAATGCCCTCCGGAGAGCGCGTTTTATTTCGCGATCCCGGCACAGCCGAACAAATCGAACAGCGCGTTTCGAATTAGTGGGCTGGAGTCGCGCTCACACCAGAGTTCTCGTACCCTACAATCGGCGCGCGATGATTGCTTTCGATTTGATCCGATTTCGAGCAGCGACGAGGATGACGACGAACGGGGGGGAAGAGGGCGGCGAGGTCGGGCAGTTGCATTTGCACGCTCCATAAACGATTAATACGCTCTCTCGTCACGTCCCACGTGTCGGATGACGGCGGCGCAACGCGCGAGAGTATATACGTTCCCTGCGCGAGGAACGCTCTCGCCTCTCGCTGGCTCTCGCGAGAGATCGACCGCTCTCTCCGCGACAGGAAGGTCCTTCCCCCGGCTTCGCTTGCACGAAGTGTTCCCGTGCGAATATTATGGGCGTGATGGGCTCGTTCTCGGCCATGACACACTCATTGACTATGGATACCTTATACTTATCATACTTATAATCTCCATATTCATTAAGATAACATGCATGCATTATATGTAATCGGATTAATTATTTTATTAAAAATGATAATATAAAAGTAAAAAAATTTAAAGAAAGAGAGGGAATTTGTGTCAAATTTTACAATATTGATCTCTTTAGTCATTTATATTGAATATTATGAAAAAGATAAAGAAGTCGAATATTATGAAAAAATAAAAAATATAGATTATTGTTCGTGTCCGCATGATTCTAATTAAAATATATGAATACACAATCTCACGTTGTTTTGTAAAAAAATATTTTATTGTGTTCGTTTAATGGTCGTTTCATTATTGTATAAACCATATATAAATGATATCGAGCGTGTATACTTTCTATTTGTTTAAAAAATATAGAATTAATAAAGTGAAAACGTGATATACGAATGTAGTTTACGTGGTTTCTTTTTTTATAATACTTGTATTGATATTTTGTATACGAATAATGCTAAATAACCTTTCCAACCCAGTTCTCTTTAATTCTTCTATATATACAATTATGCTCAGAAACATTTATCTCAAGTACGTGATACAAGAGATTATTTTAAGGCAGTTAATTTGCTAATGACTACTGTAATTAATTATATCGTAAAATTAATACAATCTGAAAGTATTAAATATAGTAGTCCAATTTGCTCTAAAATTAAGATTGACACGTGGAATATCTCTCACGGAAAAATATAAGCAGAGATCGTAAGAAATCTGTTTTATTTATTGCAACAATATCATTGGCAATTACAAATTTGTCTTCGCAGATCATAATTTCGCACGTAGATCCCTAGTCTTAAAACAGATTCGGTCGATCCCGAAATAAATGTCGCCGAAAGCGATATACATAACGAGGATGCAGAAGGTTGCTAAATGGTACCAACGAGGGGGAAGTTGTGGTACGCCATTAACACCAATTGTGGTTTCATCAATTTTCATCCGCGCGGCTTTTGGACCGGTACCGGACAGCAAAGGTGTCAAGCGTGACGCTCGGCAAAGCGACGATTTTCGGTCAGCCACGTTTACCAGCTGCGCTCCATGATGTATCAAGGACAGTCACGACTATTTCGTGAGCGGACGCGTGTTACAGCCAATAATTACTGCAGCTTTGTGTGGTCCTGAACATAGCTTATACAGCGCCAAGACTGGCTTCGACTTAACTGCGTATTATTAAAGCACACATATGGCGCGTGCGTACATCTACCATACGCTGTATATCTGTAGTATAAAACCAGTAATTTGTTAACAGTAACTTATACCAGTCGCTTAGTACCGATATCAATTAATTAAACCAAAACGTTTATTTTAATTGATTAATATTAATTTATTAAAGATAACCAAGTACTTGCGGAATTATATTATAGATTGTATAGACATACATTATGAGAATGTATGACATTCAGGAAAAGAACGATTGCACTGATTTTTTAGATATACTGAAGTATCTAAAAATTTAAGTGATAGATCTGAAAATAACTTGGTTGAGTCACCAAAATAATTATATAGAATCATTCAAACAATGCTGGAAAAAATTTTAATATTCTATGAGCGTTCTATATAATTATTTTAATAGTTCAACAAAATATATTTTCAGATCTGTGTCTAATTGAATTTTTAGAGATATTTCATTAAATCATTCTACTACCCATATTACAATCGTAAAAATAATCGTTACGGTGGCGCTATGAGAGCATATTTATAAAACTATCACGCACGATTCAAAGCGTCAATTAGTAATTCCGTGTGTAACGTTGACTTAGGTATTAATTAACGCGTATGTCAAAGAATTTTCGAGTTACTTAGTCTCGGTCGCATCTCGATATTCCGCCAGTTAGTTCCTAACGATAAACAACAAACTACTTCGTGCGACGGTCCTCCATATCTTTCGCACGTTACCGCGTTACTCCTCGGCGTCAAAGACGACGGTAATTGCGCCTCCTGCGCAATATACGTTACTTACGAATCTCTTAATTAATTCGTGCCACGACCCGCTCGGGAATTACTTTCACATCGCCAAACGTGCGCATCCTTATCGTCCTCTCGCTCCCGTGGCTCCTCTGGAAACTCGTCATCCTCTGCTCTTCCCTCGTACTTGGCATCCTTGCATCGTTCTTGCTTCCGTCGAGCGACTTCGTTTAGCGAAACTTGCCCCTGAAGGAAGCTTATCTAATAGTCACGGCCTCCGCACACAAATCAGGTAATATCGAACATCCAATAACTAATTAGCAACTCTGCAGCGCTTGTATATCTTTACCTGACAATCAGTTAGCAAAAGTATTATCGGTAATAAAAGACCGGTTTTATGTACCTTACATAGAAGATTTTTAATACGCGTATATATTAAAGTCATTTCTGTTTTTATTAAATACCTTGTTTCAAAAATAATGGAAAATAATATATTTCTGTAAAAATAAACCGTGCGACGTCGACATAGCAGAGGCATTCGATAAATGCGTTCGAAGAGACACTATTAGCGCTATTTGTGTCATTCTATCCTCATTGTTTATTGGACGTAAAACAAGGATAGAATTACACAAATAGCGCTTATTGTGTTCCCCCGAACGCATCCTATGTGTTTACATATTAGTGGTAAAAGCGTGTGCCCGAAATAGTATCGTATACGATTTAACCAAACATCGCACCACTGCAAAAACGTTACGTTTATTTCCGTTATTTTTGAACAATGCCCGCAGCAAATCGCGTCGAGCAAAATTACAAAGGTTTATCATTTAAGCGTAATCTACAATAAGGCAGTTGCAAATTTATTTTAAAATTACAAAAACAGTCGCGTGTTATCGTAATATCATCGTCGTATCGTAATATCGTACACTGAGAGAAAAATGTTTGGTATTTGTAACTATAATTACATATTACTATGTATTACTATAATTACTAAATATTACTATAATTATGATTATTATTGCTATAATAATAATAATAGCAGTAACTATGTATATAGTTCTAGCAATAAATGTACATAGTTGGCAACCTAAAATGACTATACTTATATAGTTATTATAACCATAAAATAGTTAAAATTGCCATAAAAATGATTCAAGTGACTATAATTTTTATGATAATTTCAACTGTATATATAGTTATTATATACTGTTATTATTATTATAGCAGTATAATTATAGTAATATATAATTATAGTTACAAATACAAAACATTTTTCTCTCAGTGTAATGTCGGTAATAAAAGATCGGTTTTGCACTTTGTGTGAAATATTTTTAATTCGCGTGTATGTTAAATTTATCGCGTTCTTGTTTTTATTAGATGTCTTACATCAAAAATAATGAAAAGTAATATATTTCTATAAAAATAAACTATATGACATAACTGGCATGGGCAATCCGTTATTCAATATGTTTGCGTACTGGTAGTGAAAGCGTATGTCTGAAATAGTATCATATACGCGATTTAACCAAATGTCGCGTCTCTGCAAAAACGTTACGTTTATTTCTGTTATTTTTGAACAGTGTCCGCAAATCAGTGTCGAGCGAAATTGCAGTAATTTATCACTTAAGCGTAGTCTACAATGCAGTCGTAAACTCATTTTGAAATCACACAAACAATCATAACATCGACTATTGACACTTCTAATTGGCTATCGCGACTGCTCTTATAACTTTAAAATAATTATGAACAAAGGATACCTAGTACTAATTATAGCCTGCACAGGCTATAATTGATTGTGTGAATTATGATTTTAAAATAAATTTATAATCACATTATAGAGCGGTTAATATCACATATTAAGCATATGAGATATTAACCTTTTATAAGGAAAATAAAGTATCATATTAGAACAATATTACCTCTCTCAAAAGTAATGTGTCTTTAAAATATTAATATACAAATCATGTAATATAAATTTTACATTTTCTTGCATTTCGTATACCTCAAAATTGATTATATTTACATTAGCCAAATAATAGATCTATGGTAGCATGGGACATTTCGGCAATATTGCAGTTGTTGCAACATTACTGGGATGTTCCATGTTCTAGTCATGATCTCTAATATCACAAAGCATGTACAAATATCTAATTAACTCACATTCCACGACTACATTTTTCTCTGCACGCTGCATTCAAATAAATAATCATTATACCAATAGAAATTTATAATTAAAAAGTGGAGATGTTAACGAAAAGCGCGTAGACTCGCGTCACGTTTGGACAATAAAAATTTCACTGTTTCCCACGGTGGGACGCTAATGGCCTCGAACATTCTTGCACGGTGCAACTCTCTTTCGAGACGCCGCGCTAATTTTATCCCGTTAGACTTGGTGAAGCGGGCGACACGTGGCGATATAAGTGTCTCTTGAAACTAATGAAGTATAATATACGTAACGTGCTCCATCCATATAGCGTTCTATCATAACGTTACTTTCGCGATAGCCTTACTTCCTATACATCGAACATCGTGATGTCTTATATCAACATATACTTTCTGAAGGAACGCTCGACAATCTTTGATTGAAGCGATATCAACAATATCAATTATTATATATATTATGAAAAATATTGCACAAACGGCAAATATGGGTGTTTCCTACTTCAAATACTTTCATGAGTACTTTCTTTTAATTCGCATTGAATCTCAGGTAAAGTATCACATAAGTGATAGTCCAGTCAAATATGTATCTTCAAGTATAGGTATGAATCAGATCTGTTCAAAACTTAGCTCGCGAGCTAACGCTGTTATCTCTCTGCATCGTCTCTCGTCTTGTTGAACGAGACAAAGAGAAAACAAAAAGAATAGACGCTAGATTTTTGCCCAGTAAGCCTGGCTGTTCTAGTGAGTATCCTTTTTTGCTTTCTACCTGTTACCTTCAACGAAATAGAGAAATAAGAGCGTTTAAGCCTGAGCATAGACCTTTACATAAGCTCAGATCTGCAATAAGTATAGTAAGCCTTACACCGTAAGAAATTGATCAATTACAGTCTAATGTGAGGAGAATAATCGACTATAATTTGTCAATTTCTTACGAAGCTACATCTATTGTATATCCGAGCTGACGCATAACCCTGGTTCTATTACTCACAAATCGATTACAAGCTTGTTGCGGCAGTCAATCTGAAGCGTCAACTTAAGTTAAGTTTAAAACAAAATGGACTTTCTACAACGAACCGTTATAGTGGCGTTAGTTACCACTTATATCATAGTGGTAAGTCAGAATTATAAGTCATAAATCTTAAAAAATTTACATCCAGCATAAATCATATTAAATCGTTATATCACAATATTTCAGTCAATCAGAAGGCTGGTTCTCAGAGAAAATAACAATACACTACGTGATTGGTCAGTTATCATATAATCTAGGTTTTAAATCATATAAGAAATGGAATTTGGCCATCTTCACGCAGTCACCGACTTATTATTGCTTTATGACACACAACTGATTTGCTTACAACTCGCTCCTGCCTTCTAACCTATTACTAACGGCTTATTGTAGAAAGCATTAGAGACTCAATAAGTCCTCCATTTCATTTCATGTAAATGAAAGACTCTGTTTGGTTGATAATTCTCTTACGCTTTATACAAAGGTATATCTGTACTCTAGCCTTTTAGCTTGTGAGTTAAGTTTTGAACAGGCCTGCATCTCGATTGATTCTGTGACTAGCATGACTTGCGCGAATATCCAACTTTCGTCGACCTCAAAAAAAATCTGGTACATTCTTCAGTTTATATCTCAGTTGCTCACGGATCGACTCCCGCTGCCAGTAGAATTCTGCCTAATAACATTAATTTTCATCGGTAGTATGATTCCCTGGGCGATGCCATAGTGTTGATACGCATCTTTTCCGTAAGCCACGTTCACCTCTTCGGCCCGTTGACCGGGTTTGCTCATGTTCGACGATGAGCTCGCCGGCGAAGCGGTCGAGGATGCGCCCGCGATACCTTGCAGCGCGTTGAAACTCTGCACTGCCAAGCGAGAAGTGGCCGACGTTGTGATATGCGTCGCGATTGGAGGCGAGCCTTCGACTCGGCCAGGCAGAGCGCTATTAGAAGGCTGGGGCTCGGCTAGAGATGCGTTGCTTATTATCGGTGCCGCAGGTGCTCTATCAGTTCGCACAATCGGTGGAGCAATTGATCTTGCCGCTCGCGAAGTCGATAATATAGCAACGGAAGGATTATCCACTCGAGTTGTCATCGGATGTGAAGAGACGGACGTCTTTGCTGACACCCGTGGTGGTAACGAGTCCTCCGTTTCCGATGTCCGTAAAACTGTCGCGGATTCCGTCTTTCTCGCCAAATCGGTCTGAGCCTCAGCCGAGCGCGTCTCTGAAAACGGTGCTGTATGAGCGCGATTTTTTCTGGCCGGGATTTGCGGGCTCATTGGTACAACTCTACCAGCGCTATCCGGGATACCCGTGGTTTTAGGCGGCGATTGTTTGACGGGGACAGCAGCGATTAGCTGCACGGAAAGCGGCGATTCATCTCGAGAGTTGTTAGCGTTGGTCCTCGTCTGATCTTTGACATTTCGACCGTTGGCACTAGGCACGGACGATTGAAGATTGCCCGCGGAGAAATTATTCGTTGTCGGCGATGCGAGGACATTCACCGAGGTCGCGGAAAGATCGTGAGTCTGATCACCGCCGTTCCTTACGGCGGCGAGATTTGGATCACCGTTGGGGAAGCTGGCGAAGCGCGCGATCGTTTCTCGCTCTTCGGCTACTTGAGGAGCGAAAGGTATTTTCCTTTCGATGGGCTTTACGGGCACTCTGTTTTTCGACGTGATACGATTCTTTGCGACCCTGCTGTCTCTTCTCTTTCTAGAATTGTTCGTCGTGGCGCTTGGACGCCTCTCCGGAAAATGCCTGCCTCTCATGGAGATCGATTCTGTCTCCTCGCTTCCGTTCCCGTCATTGTCCTTGTCTTCATCTTCACAGAACTCCGAATCCTCATAAACATCAGACTCGTCCTCCTCGTTTTCCTCGACGATCGCGCTAGCTTGTATCCATTCCCTGATACGATCCTTCTTCTTCGAATGGTCCACCGTTGTCTCGATCCCGTACGTCGTAAGAGTGTGGAGAAGTTGATTCTTCTCCTCTAAGGAACTGTGGAAACTGTACATAGACGGACATAGCTCGTCCCTCTCGTCGGCGCCGCCTGCAGATATAAAAAGAAATGTCGCTAAGATATCGTGACACATCGCCGATATTATCGCGATGCAACGTCAACTGACCGTTCAACGCTTTTTCGACTCCGAGTTTCGCTAGCCATCTGTCTTCTAAATATTTATTTACTTCCAACACGCTGACTGGTCGCTTGTCAATCTTCGGATCCAATAGCCTCTTGAACATTCTTTATAAAATGCCAAAGTATTTATTTAGTTTCGCGCTTTGTCATTGTTATCACGGTTATGGATGTATCCAGAGGAGGAAAAGGATTTGAAGGGTTCAACTCTCCCCGAAATTTTTCTTTTATATTTTGCCTCGCTATATTTTGTCTATTTTTTCAGGAAATAAAATAAAAATTATAATTTATAAAATCTTTTTTTTATTTTTTCCATTCAAAATCAGGACCAAAACAGAGACATTCTAAGCTCTAAAATATCAAAAAAGCAATTTGTTAACGCAAACAATTACTATTTATATGTGATAATAAAAAATTAATAAACCATCCTTCTGAAAAAATCCTCTATACGCTCATAATCACTGTGTAATGTAAAGTTGTATGTGTATTATATAGGGATATATGTGTGTCATAGCTTAAAACGTTATAAAAATAAAAATTTTATGAGTTGTTCTATATTACGTTTGAATTTTTATGTAAAATTTGTGCACAATTCTCTTATTGATTTCAAAGTTACTTAAAATTCTTATTATAGGATATAAATTCCTAGTCGCCGTTTGTCACGAACAACACAATACTCTTAACAATTTTATAACAATCAAAAGATAGCGCTTGGAAAGTGAATGAATAATAATTATCTAACTATATCGTATGAGTGTTCGAGATATACATTGACGCGACTGCATGGCGCTTACTTAATTTCGCATTCTCAGATTCCCAAGTGAAAACTCACCTCTGCGCCCGCGAGCTGATCAGCTGAAATAATTTCGGTTTCTTGGCGATGTTAAGCGTCGCGTTGTGCCAGTTTTGATATCTGGTGTAGCGCGGGTCGTCCATCGCTGCTTTCTGCCATGGCAGGCATCCGGTCAGGCAGACAAATAGGACAATGCCGAATTGCCAGACATCGTGCGACGTGCGAGCTCTGAAAGTCATCCGTCCGTCATCGTTAGAACGTATATCCTCAGTGACAATGTCCGAACTACATTTCAACACTGAAAAAAATGTTCTGATTAAATCAAAAGGACTTATCAAGAATGACATTAGTGAGAGCAAATAGAGAAAGTTATGATAATCAGAAATACTGTCCGATCTCCCCAAAATGTCATTCTGTTAGGTCCTTTTGTTGATTTAATCAGAACATTTTTCTCGGTGAAATATCATTCATATGTATCAATAGCGTTTTTATATTTAACCAAAATTTCGGATACGGAGTATTAAAAAATTAGAATTTCGAAACTTCTCAGAAAAGATTAAAAGAAAGTAGCATAAAATTGAGTGCTCATTTTCTCTCTCATGATAAATAAAGTTATGAGTAACAATATCAATGATAATAATAGCTTTGTTGAACGCATCGCAACAATGATTTGAAAAAGCAGTATAGTAAATAGTAGTATATAATACATGGCAAACTATCAAGTGCACACAACAGGCGTGGCTGCAGCTGATTTAATGCCTAACTTGAATAGTAAGTACATGTAGATATATGTAAAATGTATAATAGTACAGTTGTCGAATGTAAATGTTTACCTTATGTAGCGAAAATGCAAATTATGCTATTTAATAAGAAATACTTTTGATATATTCATATTCAAATACACAGTACAGTACATCGTATTGTTGTTATATTATTATTCTTGAAAATAAAATCTATCCATAACACGATGAGATCCCTGAAGAGCTATACTTTTTACTCAATTTAAGAAAATCGAGATCGAGATGGACCTGAATTTTATCCTACTTTCCCCTTTTCTTTCCAGGCCTTCAATTTTATCCTACTTTCTCTTAATCTTCTTTCTTTCTTCCAATTTTCTGCGTGCATAAATATCACGTGACGACAAAAATGAGTAGTACACACACAGAAAAAAAGACTATTCTTCAATCAACCATAATATACTAATATATGAGCAAAAATATTGTAATCTTGCTTTAAAAATTTTAGTCTTAAATTTGTGTGGATATGAGATTTTTAATTGAGCAAGTCTTTAATTAAGTGCAAAGTAATACTTGCATCAAAACAAATTTAATCAAACCAAGATTGATATCTTTGAAGCAAGATTATAATATTTTTGCTTATATAAGTATATTATGGTGATTTAAGAATAGTCTTTTTTTCTGTGTATAAGATCAATTATAGTATATGTATATATAATTACTTGTACGTCTCATCAGTGTCGATCTGCAATACCTCAGGCGGCGAATACGGCAACCATTCGTTATGTCTTCGTACGACGGTGTTAACCCGTCTAGTCTCGCCGAAATCGCACAGCTTGATACGCGAAAAATCACTACGAAACACGAGTATATTGTCGAGTTTGATATCGCGATGCACTAGTTCACGGCTGTGTATGTGATGTACCGCGGCGGCGAGCTGCCTGGCCACCCTCTTCGCGTGCAGCTCGCCCAACCCTGTCTCCGTCACGTTCGACGTGAGATCGCCTGAAAATCGATGACACGGTAACTGAAATGTATTTTTCTACAACGACAACGCGAATATCATGTTCTTTGCAATGACAATCGTTTTATAAATGATATTGCACCTTGGAAAATATTTAGAGCTATTGTTTAATCTTTTCGTTGCGCGATAAAAGAAGTATGTAAAATTGCATCAACAATAAATGCTAAATTTATACAATTTTATATATAATTTATATACGTAGGAATAGGGCCGTAAAGTTGATTAGGTATTGATAAAAGATCGGAATAGAGACGAGAGCATCAATAGCCGTGAGATAATTAATTATAGATGCTAACTAACACATGGCAGGAGATATATCTCAAAATCTTGTTTAAATCCCGATTGATTCCGTAATTTATCTTCTGCCCCTAAATGTATATTTATCCGATTTTATATATAGTTTATATACATATATAGGAAAGACCGGGGCTGGTTGTCGTACGGGATTGATTGTCAAAATGCTTATAACTCAAACAAGACACGGCAGAAAAATAATTTATATACATATATAGGAAAAACCGGGGCTGGTTGTCGTACGGGATTGATTGTCAAAATGCTTATAACTCAAACAAGACATGGCAGAAAAATCTCTTTTTTTGACTGTAGATAGCTGATATAATATTAATTTGTTGTAATGTTGTGTAAAATGGTTTGCACCACAAACATTGTATATATTATTTATAGCGATTTTTGAGAAAATGAAGTTGGTGAGTAAATTTTTATAATCACCTATTTTGTTGTCTGACAAGTCTTTGGTATTATTAATCGTAATATCCCTGTATTCATAGAAAATGACATATCTTAGAAGATCTTTGCTACAATTAAGTAATCATTATTCTGACTAAGTTTGTGAATACAAATTTTTTTATTAAAAATGGCTATGTGGGGTAGATTGACTAAAATGAGACGAGATTAGGTGACAATTAATTTTAATATCTTTAGAGGACACATTTTCAGAGAATATACTTACTAATACATTATATTTCATATAGATATATATTTTTCCATTTTTCATATAGAAACTATGGTACAAAAACAAATTACGTATTTTATGATTAAAATAACTATTTTATTTGTATTAATACTATAATTACTATTATTTCTCAAAATATAGAACTGATATTAAAATAAAAATTGTGTTTTTTATATGTGTTGTTCATAACAAATATGCTACTGCCAATCCTAGAACGTGTGACAATCAACTCAGAACACGGGATTAATTGTCATATTTTCGCATCATCATTTAAAATTAAATAACTTATTTTTATGATATGATGAATTCACAAGTAATATTTTTTTTAATACCTAAAGGATGTAGGTATATTGTAACGTATATAATATTTCAAAATCAGGCATCCACTTTTTTAAAAAAATCAATAATCAAAAACTGTGACAATCGGTCCCGGTTTCCCTTATATATAAAAAAAAAATTATTATATACTTATTCTTTTAATTAATATATTTATAAATAAGTTGTGAATTAGATTATTTTTTAGCAATAGATAATACTTACAGATTTAATGGTATCAAAAAATATGGTTTCTTCAAAAATAGATTTAATTGATTTTTGAAAATCTACGATATATATTTCTTTTGCAATATAATTAAATAAATTTTCTGTATTACACGATCGTAAATAATTTTGACTAAATGAAACAAAAATGCTATAACTTATTTGAATTAAACTCTGCGCCAATTTATATAGATAAGAAAATAAATTACATGGTGGATTCAGAATTGGGAACTAAAAACTTAATGAACGGCGTCTGATTTGTGAGGTGCACAAAAAGTCGTCGCGCACGTGCAAGCGAGCGTCGTAAAAAAAAAAATCTCACCGAGTGGGGCGTATTCCTGACTGAAAACGTAGAAGCCGGCCGTCTCGAACGCCACGTCATAGGTGGTTATAATGTTTCTGTGTGCCGACAGATGTAACCCATAATGAAATTCCCGAAAGAAATCCGAGATGCCGGTGTACGCCTTCGGTAGGGCCTTCAGTACCATCTCGGTCTGCGTACTGCGATGCTCGGTCAGCAGGATTTTGCCGAACCATCCCTCGCCGACGATCTGCAGGATGTCGAACTCGTCGATCAGATTCACCTGTCCCAGAGAATAGTTAGCTCTCGACGCGCTGCCGCACATGACGTAGTCGTGATCGATCGAGAGTCACGTCGCTGCTTTTCGAGCCGCGAATGACGGATGAAGAGTACCCAAACGTTCGCCAGTCGGATCGTAATGACGCTCAAACCCGAGAGACAAAGGATGCAGCATACACGACGTCACGAGGGAAATGCAATTCCGTTGGGAAACGCCAGGGATCCCGCGAACACGACGATGGTGCGTTATCCGTTGCACGCTGAATACAACGCGACGCCCGTACACCCGACGCCGATCTCTACGCAACGTCTATTTTTACTCCAACGCACGCTTCGAACGCACGTTTTCATCCCGATGCGAACTCGACACACAAGACGGTTTTCCCTTAATACTGTTCCGTTGAACCGCATATCTTTATTTCGACTAAATAGAATCTATCTAGACTATACAGAATCGAATAAAAGCTGCGAGTTTTTACTCGAGGAATTGAAATTACTTTTTATTTTGATATGCTATATAATAGAAAATTTTTAATGTTTATACGTTGATATTTTTTGTGATTTAGATAATGTAACCCTAGTCGGAACAAAAGTTCATAGTGTTACGAACTTCAAAAGTTGTAACTTTATAGAAAATGAACGAAAATTAAATTTAAAAAAGTTTTAATACATGTATACCCGTAGCAAAAAATCACATTTACATCGCAATATTCACGGAAAATTGAAAATTCAAAATAGACTCACAATAGTTACGGATAATTTGCGATGTTACTATCGGGTTATCAAAAAGGTCGCAATAATATCACATTGCAGATTTATAGTGATGTCATAGCGATATCATACCTGTGAGAAAGCGAACATTTGCACGTCATCATGACTTTATTATGATAGTACTGTGACATTTTTGCTACAGGAAAGAGTTTAAAATCTCTACTTTCAAAACTGTGTCTTTTAAATTTCTGTGAATTTGATAATTAAAAAATTTTCCAGTGAAATGAATCTCAAATTCTATTTAACTTCTGTGTCATCGAGAATGTAATTAAAGCTATATGATTCAGTATTAGAGATACAAAGTCACGAAGTGATCCAACAACGACGAGTCACGGTCGCAAACGGTCGTCTTCGTCACAGATCCTCTGTTAGGGAAACATTGGTGCAATGCCAGGCAGGAGAATGGCCGTTAGTCGAGCAAACATAATGAAATGCTGCTCGTTCGCGAATCCTATTTCTGGATCTCAATGTCTCGAAACTGGAAAAGCTCTGTTTGTGACTACCGCAGCCATTGTTTAAGCTTTATTCTCGAGGAAAACGCGAGAGACTTTAAAGAAATGCCATGGCTGACAAAGGAAAATCCAATTGTGTTCCGGTTTTCTCGGAAGAGAACTAAACGGAAGACACGGAAAGAAAGGCATTACCTTCTCGAGCTCAAACTCCCGTATTCTGTGAATGGATCCTCCGATCGCCTTCTTCATTCCGCTCATCTCGATAATTCGCAGTTAGTATTTTTTCACCGAGAATAGATGTTCTGGTTCGACTCAATTGCGACGACTAGACGTTACATCCCGTGTCGCTCATAAATCTCACAGTATCATCGGTCATCATCCCGAAAAAGTCCCGCTCTTCAAAACGCATCCAATCCTGTAAAACGTAACGTTTGATTGATATATGAGACTGACATCGTGATGAAAGGAGTATAAACATAAATAGAAATAATCGTGTTACGACGAATGTTCGTGTTGTACGAATTACACGCGTCGGTTAATTCATGTGCACGATAGCAACATGAAAAGGATTCAAACTACATACGTTATGGTAGTAGGTAATACACATGGTAAGAAGTAGGACGCGACGGAAATCAGACGAATATACTTCGCCGTAAAATGAGAGTCTAACGACGCGAGATTTCTGACGGGAGACCGTTAACGGCATGAAATCGCCATTCTGCAAGTGTGTGCTGCCGATGCAGTCGGACGCCGGCTAGTATTTTTGTGCCGTGTACAATTGTTGCGCAAGATGAGAGTGGCTGCAAATTTCACAAGGAATGCACGCGATATATATATACATATGATTTGGCAGATCGCACCCATCGACAATAGATACGAGATGAGCGTTTCCGAAACATTTCTAGCAAATGGAAAGCGATACGTGCGATCCTTTTGACGTAATAAAGACGTTACATCATTCGTGAATAATAAATCGATATTCCCCCGGTTTCCCTCTCTTGTCATTTTTTATTCGCCCAATAAAAATAAACGCGCACGTGTCTTCCTTTCATCTCGTCAAGATATGTGTACGTATCATATTATCCAAACAGAACAACAAACGTCAAAACGATGTTAAAATAAATCGTCGATTTAAAAGTGACTTCTCGTAATCGTTTTAAAGCTATTTTGACATTATTTTGGTGTCACGATGACATCGAAATGACTCCAAAATGATCACTAAAAGTATAAACTTTTTAATCATTTGCGATTTATTTTTGTTGTTCTACTTGGAGAGGAAAATGTACTAAATTTTAAACGATTGTTTGAATAACACCAATATAATATTTATGGAAGATATAATATTTACGGAATATTTACTAAATAAAAAGGTATAATAATTAAATTAATAATTCTTTTATCAAATAAATATGTTTGCATTTAATAAATATTTAACTAGCACTATTCAAACCAACATTTATTAAAATTCTGTATATTTTTCTCTCAGAGTATGTACGAGAATTAGATAATGTAAAATTTAAAACGTCAGACATTTATGATTATTTGATCTTGAAAAGGCAGGATTTATATATAATTAAATCCGTTTTATGCCAGTTCCTATTATGTAGATTAACTTTATGTGGATTGACTTTAATCTTATTGCCAGTTTAACTTCCTTTTTATCATTTTCCAGTTCAAAAAATTAGAAAAGGTTAAAGTGCAAGTTAAATCAAGATTAATGTACATTGATAAAAATGAACATTGTTTGATTATTAATTCAACAAACGAAATTCTTAATTATTGCCAAACTATCGTATAAAGGTCTCTCTCCGTTCCTTAAAAATGCTTCCATATGATAATCGAGGAAACAAGCGGCAAGCAGTCAATAAATGTATTTTATTCAAATCGCATTCATATCGGTGAACGCGAACTACGGTTGATGGAACTCGTGAATCGGTCTCCCGTCGTTATTTATGTAAGCGCCGTACACGATTCACGGAAACACGAACACTCGCAGCACGGGGTTGTCCATGCAAATTTACAGATCGCGTGCACCACCCCGCTTCAGTAATCCGTCCGCATGCCACACTGGGATTCGAGGAAGTACTTGGAGCAGTGGAGACACGAAGGAGCACAATTAACACCACTGAGAAAGCGCGTGTCCCCGTCCGGGAGGCACATCTGCGGGTGAAATCCGCAGAAAACGCGGATACACGCGCGTCTGGAAAATCTATGTTGAGAGAGATAAGTCGGTGTCTTTTCTTCTCTCTCGCAAATCGCGCAAATCGAGCGGCCACGCACCTCGAATGATCTCACAACTGGTCTACCGTGTTCGGTGCACTGTTTGCCTGTCTGCAGTATTTATAAAACGCTAACCGGAAAGCGCGGTTGGCGAGCTGATCTTGGCGTCTTGCCGGCTTGCCCGCGCACCCATCATCTCTTCCTAAGGGCGCGCACCATGTTGCGATTATTGTGAATCTAATTAACTCCACGCCATCGGGATTTGAGCTAGCACCAACGAATTTTAAGTAATCAATTCCATATTTTATTCGAGAAGCTTTTAACTCTGAATAAAAAAATGTTTAATCATATTTTAAATAGAAAAGAGTTTACTTATCATCGAAGCTAATTCTAAATAATTTAGTGATATTGGCATCGTCTTGCGTGTCATCTTTTCAAGTTATACGGATACAAGACATTTGCATTAAATAATAATAAATATTAAACTGATATTTATGCAGTAATACATATTAAAATGGTAATTTTTTGTGATGAGCAATTCAAAATCTCATAAGCTGCGATTTATGTTTTATTTATACGCGAAAGTAACTGTTTATGTATACGTGAGGTTGAAGAATGAAATAAAAATGGAAATTACTTCTCATGTCATTCAAGCAGTCTTTTGTATTATTGTGAAATGTGTAACGTTTAATAACAGTGAGATTAGTTAGCGGTTTATAATTCTAATAAAAAAATGTTTGCGTTTTATACTTATTATCAACACTTTCGATAGTATTGTCAGTTCATTAGTAAGTGATTATTATATACGTATACGCAAGTATGACTAAATATTGATAAATAGTATCATCAAGTACTTTCAACGCTTTATCGATAATTCTAGCGCACAAAGGTTAATTTTTACTGTTTTTCCCATGAAGAATGCGATGAGAATGTAAATAAATTCTACGTGATATTTCGTGTGTACGAAAAATTACCATATCGTTTACGCCATAGTTTTTGTATATCATCGGTCTATTTATTTTACATCGCATATGTACACATTTAATACGAATTTACAAGCGTGCAATAAAATTAAATATTCATCACGCGTCGCCCAAAATGTATGACGTTGTGTAACTCCAAAATCAACATGTCTGGATTTGTGATATTACCAAATCGGTAAATCTGATTTCGCCGAATTCACATTAATACCTATATATCATTGTAAAAATATTTCTTGGGTGTTTTTTAACAGACAACTTGATGAATGTTAATCGTTTTTAAAAATCTCATGAGGTCATCATATAAGAATTACCTTTATTTGTAAAATTAATTGTTAGATTATTCCGATATTTTAATTTTGCTTAGGTACGAGATGTATACATGAAAGATTTAGACGAGTAAACATTTCAAGGCTTTTCGGAGAAATATCATTTTACGTCGCATATTTCGATCGCATCAAATGCATTTTAATGACTGCACTATATTGAATACCATCTTACGACATCATGCGGAGATTCACAGAACGTCATCAAAAAGGATTAACCGACGGAGAACGCTACCATCACAGTTTTTCATCCATTTCCATCTAAAATTATAACATAACATTTTAATTATATTTTCTACATTTTCTACATTTTCTTCCTTTTCTTGTCATATTCTTAAAATATTTACACATTTCAATAACGACAAATATTGAAAAACGTAACTAATCAACTACACCACAATAAATCTGAATTTTCAATAAAAATTCTAATATAACATACTTATATATTTAATTATATATAATAACGCGTTTTTGATCATTTACAAGACAATACGAAAATTCATAACATCAGCAAAAAATTTATCTCGAAAAAACCACTGTACAGTAACGCCCTCTCGAATACTGCAGCTACAGCGAGAATCCGATAGTATTACATGATGGTATTATTTATAATAAAATATTTATTGTTTTTTTAAATTATATATATTATTTAATTACTGTTTTTATTATCGAAGAAAGAATGAAATTCTCGAAGATCGTGAGTAATTTAAAGACAACTGTTCTCTTGACGCGTATTCGACAAAATTCAAGTATTTAAGTATAAAGTTGAACGTGAGATGGGAAGGAAACAAATTAAGGAAAGAGATATTTCATGTATTTCTATCTTAATCGCGCTTTCTTATTTACGATTTCTACATCAAGATGTATACATATACATATATTCCGCGCATTCCAGATAAATAAGAGAGTTCAAAAAGAATTTAGTCGTATGTCATAAATTCTGAATTTTTTTTCTGAAAAGTTTTGAAAAGAATTCATTTTGCAACTGAAAATAAACTCAGAATTGATAACATAATGCAATTAATCATTTTTTAATTCTTTTTAAATTCTCTGTGCAATCTGGGATATACAGTTTTTTTTTTAAATCATCGCACAAAAAAACTTAAGCAGTAAAACGTAAATAATAAGCGAATTAGCCAATCACAGTAGAGGGTAAGATTATAACATAATTAGTTGCAAATCCAACATATTTTGATTTCCTTACAGCTGCTTACGCTTATCTTACTGCTTAAATTTTTTGTGTTAATAATCATATATCTAGGCTGCGATTCGTTATTCACCGCAAACATCGAAATACTACAGTATACATAACGTGGACTATAGATTAATTTTCAACATTCGTAGTAAATATAACGGAACGCAGTCCCGATAGCAACATTCATAATCCGTTCTTATTTCAAGACCGTCTTAAAATAATATCTTCAGATGCTAATACAACTGATTGACTCCATGACGTGTAAAGACAGTCTCAAATATAAGAATCGACTATGAGTACCGATTTTAATCGAGGATATTTCGATTGAACTGCCAGCCGAAAGCTTCGTAGTTGGCGCCATCGCGATTGACGATTAGTGCCCGAGTTCGCGAGAAGATGGCAGTCGCGGCGGACGACCGGCTGGCGCTGGGAGCGCGCGTCCAAAGTCAGGAGTATCGTGTCGTCGACTCAGTCGGGAGTACAAATACGTTACTACGTTCCACCACGTTCCATAGCTTTCTCATGTGTCACCGCGTCGCGGGTGTGTGTACGCGCACGCCCGTCGTCATCGTAGTGTCGTGTTTTAACGCCGTCATCCGAGAGGGAGGAAAGTAAAAGAAAAGCGTGATCCAGTGTCGTACGTCGATCGCGGGAAATTCCGCGATCCCGGATCTTGCGCGCGATCGCGAGAGTGCGACGACTCCCCGTCCGAGGGAATAACGGAGAAACGGTCAAGCGGGTGACGCGACGCGCGTAGAGGTACGCTCTCCTATGTACGTGCATGCTGCACGTTCGTGCATGTGCTTGCGCGCGCGCGCGCGGCTGTACGTGAGGGAGCGAGACAGACGGTAGCGAATCGACGGAGAGGAGCGAAAGAGTCGGGCGGTAGAGGAGGCGAGAAAAAAAGTGGGAAGTGTGTCGCGCGCTCGCGGCGCACCGTCGTCATCGAGGAAGGTGCCCGGAAGTCGCCTACTACACGCGCGACTGCTGCGCGCCGACGAATAGACAAATAGACAAAGGGGAAAAAGTTACCGCGGGTGGGCGAGGTAGTCCCCGACGTAGAAGGAGCGAGAGAAAAAGAAGAGAGAAAGAGAGACACGAGACGAGATCAGAATACAGAGTACTACGAGGTGGAGGAAGGCACGGTTGCGTCAAGAAAGAAGAGGTGATCCATCAGCGGGAGCACGAGAGTTTCGCATCCCGCGAGACAGAGAGACGCATAAAGGGAGAGAGAAAGAGAGATAAGAAGGAGCGAAGAGAAAAGGGTGGGAGAGGCGAGAGGATTGCGTCGCGGACGGTGGAATGTAAGAAGCGACCGAGCGGTGCCGTGTAAACACGCGTCTCGAGTGAACCGGAGCGGCCCACCAGCGACGTTCGATTCGATGTCGTTGGCTTTCCCGTCGTCCTCACCGTCGCCGTCGCCGTCGTACGGCAGTCCCGACGGTTCGCATACAAGTAGAACTTGTACGGAAGGAGCAACCGGGAGCAACATCTGTGGCATCGATCATCGTCGCCGCCGGCACGGCAGACACGCGTAAATGAATCCACATCACAAATGACGTTGGGCGGACCGGGCAGACTAGCGAGGTGCTGGCTGGACTCGTCGTCGTCGTCGTCGTCGTCGTCTTCTTCGTCGGTTTAACGAACAAAGAGGTGAGCGTCGTTTTTCCCTTTGGCCTCTTGGTACGCCTTAATTCTCTCGTCTACGAGTCTCTAGTGGACTCTTCTGTAAAAATGGCTTCGGGCGTTCTACCGTTTGCGATTGTTTTATTGTCCCTAAGCGGTTGTTGCACCGTACGATGTTGCTCCCGATAAGATAATTTTCACGAGTTTATGTGTTGATAGCACATCACTCAACTGACCATTTCTAAACGGTCGCGTCGCAACGATGGCTGGAGTTTTGATCGCGACATATTATTCCGACTACGTCGTAATTGACACTTGGATGCTAATTTCCGGACGAACTTGTTTTTAAGCTCATTTCTATCGCGTCTAGAGATAGTACAAAGTGTAACAACAACGCCTTACATTTCGTCATCAATCAATTTGATGTATCGCAATTACTGGATGAGATTTTTTTTGGCAACGTAACATTACACGACGCTTTATTTTTCCTTTAATTTGACTTTGACTTTATTTGATTTTATTTGATTTGACAAATTTTAATTATCGCTCGTTTGCTACAACTGACATAATTGTAATAAAACTGCGATTTTTTCGTTGTGCTTGCAGAAAAACAGAAACATAAAGAAAAAGGAAAAACATACTTTTAAAGAACATATTGTTTCTGTGTACGCCCAAATTGCATTTCAAAAATAATATTACAAAATTTTAATAATTCATACCATTGAAACTTTTTTTCTGAAAACCTCTGTTTTTTAATTGTGTGTTGTAGCAAATGAACGATATACCTTCTTTTCATTAAAAAGTGAACACGGAATTAAAGTATATTATTCATTTGCTACAACAATAACACAACTAAAAACAAAGTCTTAAAAAAAAAGTTTTAATAGATAAATCTTTATCTATCTATAGATTTCGTCTTTTTTTCTCTCAAACAATTAACTTATTGTTAGTGTCGTGTACTAACATCGCAGTTGAAAACAGCAAACCTATTAAATTCAAAATTGCATTTCAAATCAATTCGTTACAAAATTTTATCAAAACGTGTTTATCAAAATGCATTTATAGTATAAAACTTTTCTTCTGAACAACTTTGTTCCTCTTTATCTCTAGGTGGATCTATAGATAGATCTTTATCTACCTATAGATTTCGTCCTTTCTTTCTCAAGCGATTAACTCAGTGTCAGGTGCCAATATTACAGTTAAAAAGAGCAACCCTATCGATCGCATCTTGCCTTAATTATTCGTGAAGATGGTACCGCTTTTATGTACGTACTCACACATTTATGCTAATCGCGTCAAAGAAGGTGCACGTTATCAATGCAGCATCGAGATTTTTTATTTCATATTACATTTTTATCGTGAGAGGAAAAAAATAGTTCAAGGTAAACGTCTATTTCTCGAACCGGATAACTCCTCGCCCGCAATGATTCTCGCAATGCAGCTTCAAAAGAACCTCGATGCATATCGATTGCATAACAGTTACGTTGCCGGTAATGTCTTGCCAATGTACTCACCAATAAATAGCATGCCAGTCGTTAGTATAGACACTATATTTACGACGTTATCGTGCGATAATATCGATCGTGCAGAGGAACCATTCCGGGAACCTGTCCTCCGAAGAGATATTTGGGTGGGTCCATCGTTGTGTATCCGATAAATTCGCAACGTCTCGTATGGTGGTGGTCCAGCGATCTCTTACGAATTCAGATGGGTAAACACAGTACGAGCGCAATGTAATACGATCTCGCGAGAAACTTCTCCGTCTGTTTTATCGAATACGTATATCCTCGTATCGTTTTATATTGTGTACATTGTGAGATGAAACAATAAGTTTCTCCGGGGACTAATCGATTACGGCTTTACAGAAACTCGAACTACTTCCGAGATCATAGATCTGGCAAGGTTCTTTTGGAAAATGTTGTAAATTGAATGCGATAAAAAACATTGAACAAAACATTATGGTTATGACTAATTTATTCTCGAAGAGGATGAAGAGCAGTAATTTTGTACTTTATTAAATTTGCGAAATGTTAATATGAATATTTCATAATTTTATTGTCCGGGGAGAGGATAATAATGTTGCGCAATATCGCGATAATACGAAGCTAGGGGAGGAAAGAATTTTTAGTTAAATATATATTCATCACTGCGGATAAACTGTTTTTAATATTTATTTTTGTTTAATAATAATGGTAATAGCTATTAAAGCTATTACAGAGACAACAATTGATACGTATTTATTTTATCAGCGTTGATAAATAAATCGTATATTTAATCGTCTATTTAATGCAAATTTAAATAAATTTTATTTATTAGGATCAAAGAATTCTAACGAAGCACATTTTACGAGCACTCTGTGTAAACTTTTCCTCTTCTTCTCCTTTTATAAATTGTAATTTTGCAAAATTATTTCGATTACATTCTTTCACATAAATTAACAGTTGGCGTTTGAATAGTCCGATAAAACTGAATACATGAAACATTAATTACGTAGCAGAAATTACTTTGGCAGAAATTACAATTCGCGTAAACCCGCAAAAGTGAAGCACAATGGTCCTGAATTTAATTAATAGCGATAACATCGTGTATAAACACTTATCGAATATAAATGTATATAAACACGTACCTACTTATCGAATACAAAAATTGATAATATCAAATTTTTAAACAATTGTATAATAATTTATAATTGTATTAGAATACTTGATGTTGATACTTAAATATTCGATTAATTTTTAAATTAGATACGATATTTCGGACCATCTCGGAAACGTAGAAAATAGAAAAGTATAATCTTGGATATCTTCTCATGTCATTTTTGCAATAATTCTCATTTTATAGTAAATGATATCCAATATCGTAAGAGTAAGAAAAATAATCGACGTCACGCAGAACGTCAAGGAAAATAGAATTTAATTTTTTTCGAAATTTTCTACGAATATCACGTATGTAGTAAAGAAATTAATGTGGCGCAAGATTATTTATTGATACATGAATGATTACATGTACACATATATTTATCATCTCAATTATACGTTGCTCAATAATAATTACAATAGTACAATATGTCATTGTCGTACAAGTTGTCGTACAATGTTTGCCTCTTTTATTATTTTATCGTCGACAATGTTTGTTAGCTATAAAGATAACTTAGGTATACACTGAGAAAAATTGCTAGTTGAAAATGAATGAACTAGTAAATTCTGATCATATCAGAATTCCAGTTGTCATGATTGGACATCTGGTTATCTCGAGTAGAATTAAAATAAATTTGACTATAAAATTCTGATTTTTCCACCAGAACTCCAATTAATACAACGAGACTCTTGTTTCAGCGTACAATTAGAAATAATTAATTTTATGCTATTGGAAAATGTCTTCAATTGAATTTAAAATCAATATTTGTTTTGTCGGTCTGAATAAAAAAATAATATCTTAGAATTTGAGATACTTTCGAGAGGATAAAAAATATGAATAAATTTGTTAATTAATGGCGTTACTTTTAATTCATCGTTGCTTGATATTTCTCCCAGTTTATTATATCGACGAGACTTATTCGAAGAAAGTTTATTAAAAGATTATGTAACGTTAAATATTTTCACAAGTTTCGACAAGGCATTTTATAAAGTTTCTTCGAAATGGATGAAATTATTACCTTTCCAAAGAGTGTTGTGTATTACCTTTAATAGAAGGGCGTTTCATCTTACTGAATTAAAATATCAAAGCAAGAGCAATATAGGTCAGAAAATTTCAAACTAAATAATTAAGCATTATATAATTAACCGAACGATGAAGTTATCAAAGTTTTCTGTTATTGACGCTTGCAGAAATGCTTCTCTTGTTTCGACGAAACGAAAATATTTACTAGATCGTATTCATAGATTAAAAAACTAGTCATTTCCAGATGAACTGTTTAGCATTCCTCTACGTCAACCCTGAAACACTTGAAAAAAATTCCAACGAAACTGCCAGTCGTTTCTGGCTACTAATTTTATTTAGATCGTGTAGCTTTTTACATAGTTATTTTTTTATTTAGTTTTTCAATTGATTGACTTAAGAGATTTTCCGTTTCTAATTTTTTTCAGAAATACTTTTATAAAATCTTTATTTAAATTAAAATTAATTTTTCTTGAGCAAAATTTTAAAAACATTTTCTCAGTATAAAGATAATAAAATATTTTGATAATAAAATTTTAGAGAGAGATTAAAATTTTATAGAAACGAGATACGTCTGAAATTAAATTATGCCTGAAAAATATTTTGTTTTTTCTGCATTTTTGAAATGACTTGAAATAAACTTAATTTGTTTGTTTAATCTGAGAAACTTATAAGCTATGCTTTCTTTATGTAAAAATGTATCTTTTTTTAAATTTCTTTGAAATATGTTAGGTTGAAAAGAGAGACAGGAGAGAGAGAGAGAGAGAGAGAGAGAGAGAGAGAGAGAGAGAGAGAGAGAGAGAGAGAGAATATGTTGTGTGACATTCTTAGAGTGCTCTGTTCTCATTCACATGTTTCATCTCTGTTTAAACGTGTGAAAATATCAAGACATTTGGCATTTCAAGAGTTCGAATGAAATTGTAGAATATTTGAGAACTACCAGTAAATACATTTGTAATTCACTTAGATATTAAATTATTATAAAGCAATTTATTTGCGAAGATGCTTCAATATAAATGATTGACTATAAATGAAGAAATATTATAACGATAATGTAATTCTTGATATTACCATTACAAAAGAATCTCTCGACATGAATGATATTATTAACATCGTGTAATATTTATTATAATTAGATTATATAAAATACATGTTTTATTATCAAATATTTAAATATTTGAATAAAAAAGTTTATTTAAATTTTAAACAGAAAGTTATATTTTTATTGTAATCTATATATTTTTATTTTAATTGAAGTATCTTCAATAAAATTATTTAAAACAATTATATAAAACAAATTTTCATTATAAGGATAATGAAAAATATCTTATAATAATAAAATTAATTAAAATTTTATTGAAACGAGATGT